GGGAAAATTCCCTCTCAATTCTCCTCCTGGTGAACGGTTCTAAGGTGAAGTTTCTCCCTGCAAACACCATGTGCTTTAGCAAACAGTCCTGTCAAGTCACCTGTTCTCTCCTCACAGCTCATGTGAAACAGTGGCCACCGCAGTAATATGTTGTCTTGCGTTGCTTCACATCTTTCTCCCCTGCCACATGTCTCTTCTCCCCTCTCATTATCCTGGGCTTCCGTCTCCCCAAAGGGTGTGAGCACTTTAATCCTTGCCTCAGAGTCTGTTTTCTAGAGCACTTGCGTTAAGATATGGAGCTGCTGTCAAAGCCCCCATCCCAACACTGAGTCCCAACAGTGGGGTAGCAAGAAGGTCCTGAGGGCGCAACTGATGTTTCCTGCTCACGTGCAGGAAATCCAGCCCAGGCTGCTGGATTCCTGTCAGAGGCCCGGTGGCAAGGGTGCAGGGTCAGCCCATTTCTGGCATACTCCCTAGAAGAAGCTGAGGCTAATTTTCTCAGGCTCTTTCTGTGGTTCCCTGCATTTTCTCCTGGGTACGTAAGACTTACCTTTGGAAGAGTCAAACCCAGGCTTGCAGCTTGCTCTACCTTCTGGGTCTCTGTGCTCTTAGGCCACTAGAGGGCAGCAGGCTAGAGCATGGAAGTTCAAAGTCCCCTCTACTGACGGCCAATCAAAGGCTCTGATCAGCCCAGCCTGCCATACTGTGATGGCAGTGTCTGAAGCGGGGTTGGAGAGAAAAAGAGTAGCTCTCCACCCTCTCTGAGTTTGCACTTGGCGCAGACTTGGTCAACTCTTTGTGGACCTCACGTGGCTCAAGCTCGAAGGGCAGCTACAGAATCCGCTTTGGCTCTGAGCTTCCTGAGCCCATGAGGTTTATTCCTTCATTGGTTCTCCCAAAGAACACAGGACTGTGTAACATGCTTGAGCAAATATACTGGCTGAGGGAGGCGCACAGGCCCAAGACAGCCTCTGAATCCCTGCTGGATTTGGCTGTGTCACAGTGAAGGCAGGTACAGTGAGGACAGTGGATGCCAAAGATTGCAAACAAAGCTGGAAAAGATAAAGAGAGATTCTGTGACCTCCCCGACCTTAGTATCCTCTTTTGGAGGGTATGACATGCATGTTCTGTTCCACTGAGGCAGAGGTGAGACCCCAGGTCTGGTCAGAGCACACAGTAGATCCAGAGCTGCTCTGAGATCAGAGGTTGTCAGTCCCATCTCAGACCAAAGGTCTTTTCTCTCTGTATCCAAGACACCCAGGTTGCATCCAGAGAGACAGAGAGAAATTCCGGGGGCCCTCCTGAAGGCTGAAGACTCTGCCCACAGTCCCCAAGTTAAACAAGTTCTCAGAGGGCCCCCCAATTCAATGTCCACTGACAGACTCTTCTCAGGAGTGCTTTGGTGACATGGCCTTAGTGTAATAATGGACCATAGCCAGAGGGCGAGGAGTGGAGCAAGCTGCAGATTGTCCAGAATGAGTGCTTGTGTGGTTGCCTCACTCCTGTCCTAAGCATTGCCTTGGGGCTGAGACCTAGGAGCCAGTACCACTTAGGGATTTTGACTATCTAGTCAGGGTCACTGGAGCGTGAGCCAGCCAAGTGTTATATAGGTAATCTCTCTCTGAGGGCACTGAGCAGATTAAGGTTGACTTATTATCACAGACAGGCTATCGTGGAAACCATGAAGCTGAGGGGGAGGGGAATGGGCCCAGTGTGACCTGTTGCTAAGAGACAGAAACCACAAGGGCCAGATCCAGACTCAAGGACAAGAACTCAGCAAGATTCTTGACGATGGTTACTAGCTCACAGAGAGCCCAGGAATCAAATCACTTGGTTTGAAAGGAATTGTCCAGAGAATCCTCACCAGGCGATCGGGGATCTGGGAAGGCATAATCTCTAAGGCAATCTTTAGGTCCAAACCCATGTCTAAAGGGAGGGTGGATGATTCAATTCCAGAAGAGGTATCTTCTCAGGGCTGTCCATAAAGGAGGGAGATATTTCCCAGTGGAAAGGACCAAGAGCGATTAGTTTTGTTGATGAAGAAACTTGCTCCACTGTCCAGAAGGATGTGCTATATGCTATAGATTAGTGACCATTGTTTTCTCTTCTCCCCTATTCCAAATGGAAGGGGTTTTTTTTGCTTTTTTTTTCAATGGTTACCCTATTTCTCTCCATGTTGGTTATGTAGGGGTAGCTAAATTTATCTTTAAGCCAGAGATTGCAAAATCACAAGAAATTATATCCAGACCTGATCAAGAATTGCACATCACAAAGGGACCCTGGACTGAGGGCTCAATAAAGCAACTGGGCATGATTCTGTTTTGTCTCCTATTCAGAAGTGGGTGACTGTTTTTTGTTGAGCCTAGGAACATTGCATTGTTAGGCAGGCACATTTTTGAAAGTGTATGTTTGTCCAGAAAAGTATAGGTGGAAGGTGAACAATAAAGGGGAGGAATACTGTGGATGCAAATTGCTTATCTGCCCATCATCCCTTCTTTTGAAGACCCAGTTCTCCCCTCCACACAGTCCTTGTGAAGTTGTCAATTACGGTGGCCTACTCTTCCACCCTAGAGGTAGCCACATGTCCATTCTGGCCAAAGTCCTCCCAAGGTCTTTAGAGCTGGAACTAGCGAGGCCACTAAACAGAAGGGAGCAGAGCCGAGAGATGGAGACATCATCATTTGAACCCCTAGATCAAGCCATGCCTAAAGGTAGATACATCCTTTGATTTATCAATTAAGTAAGCCAACTAATTTCCTATTGGCTTAAACATGTTTGAGTTGGGTTTTTGACACTTACAGCTGAAAGGATTTGGACTAACACATGCACACACAACAGAGACACAAACACCATTGTTGCTTAAACTCATTAGACATTATACACGTCTTCCATGAGCTTATAGGGATCAGCAAACATTTTATCTAAAGGACCAGATAAATCTTCTAGGCTTTGTGGGCCACATATGGTCTCTGTCTCATATTCTTTTTTGTTTTATCTTTACAGCCCTTTAAAAATGTAGAAAAAACATTATTTGTAGGCCATACAAAAGCAGGCTGTAGGCCAGATTTGCCCACAGGCCATAGTTTGCCGACCCCCTGATCTAGGTCCTGCCAACCTCTGCAACATTTATACATGGCCTGCCAGCCCCTAACCATGAAACAAGATACTTCAAATGCCATTTTGGTTTGTGTCTTGACGTGACTTGATGAGTTAAGGTTCAGGGTAGAGTTAGAAATGGGAAAGGGTCTTATCTTGGTGCCCACTGTCTGCCCCATAATTGGCACTGAATAAACGGTAATCATTATGATTTCTTGCCAATAATTTATCAGCATGATGCGGCTGTCCAAATGGCTTTGTGCATATGTGCCAGTTCATTCTCGAAGACCCTTCCCCTCCTTCATCTTCTTCAGTAAACCTTTCTCTGACCTGCCTTACCAGTCAAGTCTGAATTCGGTACTCTTCTTGCTATCACAGGCTCTCTGGGGCCCTCCATTATCACTACATTATCGGACCGTCCTTCCCCCAGCTCTCAGTGCTTAGCACCTAGCAGTGCTATGCCTCTATGCCTCCATGTGAACAGCTGTTTGAATGTGCAGGTGTTAACATTCCCATCTGTGTCCAGGGTGGTCAGTCTACGTGTCAGCCCTGTGAACTACCACACCTTACCTGGCAATGTTATTTTTCATTCCATTCCCTCCAAAAACGAGTCAAAGACAGAGGAACAGGTGGGAACAAATTTTCTTAGAAACTCTTATTAAGGAGGAACCCGCCGCCCCCGCCCCCACATGCTTTATTGTCTGATGTGATATCAGATCAGAGGCCTCCAGTCTCAGCAACATCTAGGGACCAGAGTGCCCACCACACAGCTGGGGCCCCAGACTAGTTTGATCCAGGTCTGTGGGGTAGAGGGAAAATTATCCTCCTAGGAAAAGTTATGTGCAAGGCCCTGCAGGCCCAGGAAAGGCTGACCAAGGCAAGTGAGTCATGGTGCTCTAAGCTGAATCTTTTGCCCATCTCACAGAAGCAGGCAGGAAGCACCACCATCGATCAGCTTTATATGGTACCCACTGTATACAACAGACAGACAAAGACAGACAGACAGAGCACACACCACTTCTAAGCTGAACACTGCTCACCATCTAGAAGCACCTTGGATAAGCACATTGAGACACTCTTGCATAGGAAAGATGTAGTTTTTAAAGGAATGATGAAGTATTTTGGCAAAACATCTACTTCCCTCCCAGGTCCTGGGTAAAGAGGGACCTCTAAATTCTGAAGCTTCTACATAATTGAAAATTATCCCCTTCTCAATGGCAGTATATACAGTAGCGAACCTTCCAAGTCTGTTGTCACAGCCCTCTACACATATCCTGAATCTACTTTACCGGTGGGCAAACTTAGAGACAGAAGGTGGTCTGGAGCAAGGGGACACTGGGGCTGGCTCAAGGTGAGGGGAAACAGGAGGTGTCTCGGCTCAGCCAAAGGCAGGGCCTCTGTCTAACTGGATGGGGAAGGGAAAGGCTGGGGCAGTCCAAACTCCCTTTCTTCCTGCCTGAGGAAGCAGTGGTTCCACGGGAAAGCCTGTCAAGAAGGAAAGGCAGGTTCCCACCCCTGCTGGCTTAAGGGGTTTTTCGGGGTGGCAAAGAGCAGGGCAGGCCAGAGCTCCTCCTTGAGGCCTCTTCATGGATGCTCTCTGAGTTTGGGAACTGTGGGTTCACTGCTTCAATAACTCTCTTGTTACCTGCATATGAGCCCAGACCTCAAGTCCTTCATTATTTTTAAAGGGTGGTGGGGTGGAGGTGGGGGGCGTTAAGAGGGAATGAGACACAGAACCATCTTTCCACAGCCTTCCTCTGCCTAGGCTGGGGCCTTCAAGGGTCTCCTTCACCCTGCCTCCTAGGGATATTTAAAGGCAGCTTTTATTAGATTCTATACTGTCCTTTTTGTTTTTCTTGTGATTTTTTTGTTTCTTTGTGTATATATATATATATATATATATATATATATATATATATATATAATTCTTTAAAAAGCAATAGTCCTTTGGTCCCTAAACTCTAAGGAATGATATGATTTTGAAAGAAGTAAATCTAGGCTTCCCTTGTGGAGAAGCCCTTGGCACCCCCCAAGGCCCTCTGCTGGTTCCCCTAGACAGTCACTCCTCAGCCAGCCCCAGCGGCCTTGCCAGCCTGAGCTCTACATCACAGGCACAGAACAACCCACTTGGTGAAAACAATCCTGAAAGTGGCCTGAGCCCAGGCACTGGCCTTGGGTCCACCTCCATCTGTGGCTGCTCCTTCAGGAAGGGCTGCTCAAGCATTTCTGTGCTTTTCTTTTCCTTTCTTCTCACTCTTCAGTTTCCAATGTTGGGTATTAATCGATAAGGAGAGAGAAAGGGAAAAAAAGGAAAAAATCACTCTGGAGGGCAAGACAAGAAGAGCAGCTTGCCCTATCCGTGACAGGTGAGTGGCTGGACCTCAGGCTTCCACTGAAGCCAGACCCTGGGCCCTGGGCAGATGACCTCAGCCCAGCACCCCCTCCAGAGTGCTCCCTGGGGGTAGTTCAAGTGAGGCAGGGTCCTGTGGATCTTCTGAGACAGCAATCTCTAAAAGTCGCAGGCAGCCGGCCCTGCCAGAAACCTGAGAGCTTGTCATAGCCCTCCCCATCACCACCACACCCTGTAGATCCTGCATCTTCAGTGTATTTGCTTCTCTCCTCATCTCCAAGTTCACTGCCATTATCCCAGCCGTTACATCCTGTCCCTTCTTTGCTTAAACTCCTCAGTGGTCCTCTACCATCTTCAGGATAAAGTCCAAACTCATGGCCTTTAAAACCCTTCACAAGCTAGCACAAACCTACTTTTCTAGTCTCGTTCTCCACCCCTCTGCCCTCCCCACACAGGAATTCTCTACTATGGTCCCCTGTGGCTATCTCTGGAGTGGAACGAACTGGTTGGATCTTACTGTAATTGTCTCTCCCAGACTGTGGGGGCAGGAATTTTGTCTAATTTATCTCAGTCCTTAGACTGAAGGAAAAACACAGCCTCAGACTGAGGATTCCTCCTAACTCCTGGCTCTTCTCTCCCAGACTTTTTCAGGGGCCGGTGCCCCCAGCATCCCAAAAGGAATATCAAAGCTGGGAGCGCCTCCATCACTCAGGCCCCATCTGCCGGGGGTCCACTAAGGACTCACCTTTCTGTGGCTGGTCAGTGAGAGTAGATCAGTAAGGCCGGTTGGCATCCTTGGGCCTCTTTAGCTGGACCTTGAGCCTCTTCATGCCAATCTGAAAGCCATTCATGGCCTGAATAGCTGTCTGGGCACTGGTTGGATTGTCAAAGCTAACAAACCCTGGAGGGTGTGTGCAGAGAGGTTAGCTGGGAACTCTGCGTGGCAGGGCCTCCTTTCTCTATGACCAGCCCCTTCTCCTTGCCCCCTCAGGCCAGTTCCATCAATCAGTACTCCTCCACCCTCCAGTGTTTGCATGTGTGCACACACACGGACACATGCTCGTACTTACACAGGCAAGTGGCCTGAGTTTCCTAAACGTGTGATTCTTGGAAGGACAGGAGGTAATTCTGAGTGTGTGTATTGGGGAGGCAGGTAGTGTGTTGATGGGGTGTTTCCCTGTCTTTCCCTGGCGTGGGAAAACTCTCTCTCTCCACAGCCCCCATTCTGGTCCTCTGAATTGCAGTTGGAGGGGATCTCTGGTCCCAGACCCAGACTCCACCTGCCCTGGCTAGACTCTAAAGCCTAACCTGGTTGAAGATCTACCAGACACCTGACCTTCCCAGGTGAACCTGAAATAGACTTGTCCCTTGTCTGGGCTTAGCCTCATCACTGGTCTGTGACTCTGTTGAGCGCTATACACTCAGTTTCTAGGAGTCACTGACTTCCGGAGGTACAGTCTTAGGGTCTGTAAGGAATCTCGAAGTTGGGAGTGGGAGAGGCCTAGGGATGGGGCTCAGCTCACCGAAACACTTGCTCTGGTTGGTGGCTCGATCCACAAAGACTTTGGCAGAGACAACGGCTCCAAAGGGCAGGAATGTCTGGATGAGTTCTGCATCACCAAACTCCTGAGGCAGGTGATAGATGAAGAGGTTACAGCCTTCGGGGCCTGCAGGAACAGGAGCAGGCTGGTTCAGGGGAGGAATCCTGAGTCCAGCCCCACCAGGCCCTGATCTCCAGACCCCTGTCCCTCACCTTCTCTTTGCTGCTGGGGCAGGCCTGAAGGCTGCTGGGGAAAAGTTGTGCTCACTGGGGCATAGGCCGACGGATAGGCTGCTGGAGACAGAGGTGGGAGTGGGCAGTGACCCCCCAGGAGCCACCCCCAATCAGGGCCCCATCTGCCTGGCCACCTTTGACCAACTCAGCCAGTGCACAGTAACCCTCACCCCTAGAAAGGTCGTTCTGGGTCCAAGGGTGGGCGAAAGGAGGGTCGGACTCCTCAGCACAGAGCCTAACCCCCCCACCCCCAAATCTCCCTATTACTTTCTGGGGCCCTTCAAACCCCCCAGGCCGCGTAGCGCCAAGTGAAACCTGCGTAGTGGTGCATCCCAGCGTAGGCCTGCTGCAGGGGGTCAGCCACGCCGGGACTCTGGGCTGGGGAGAGAGGGGCGCAAGGCCCACAGTGAAGGTGGGCTGGTGGGCGGGCAGGGTAAGGTGAGAACACAGGGAGTGTGGAGGGAGGCTGTGAGAGGCAGCAGGGAAGGAGGAGGAGTCCCTTCTCAAGGAGACCAGGCCCTGCCACCCGCCCCCCCCCAGACCCCCGCTCCCCACTCCATTTTGGGGGAGATTTGGGCGGAGCGGGTGGGGGGGGCCCACCTGGGTAAGGAGAGAGCCCGTTATTGTAGAGACTGTCCGAGCCAGGTTGCCCGTTGGTCTGGGGGGTCAGGGGGCCGAATCCATTGACCCCGATGGGCGCCGGGAGACCCGGAAGCGTGCTGGGACCGCCGCCCTGCGGGGAATTGGCTGCAGGTGGCGAGGAAGTGGAAGAGTCAGGCCGCAGCCCCGCCTCGCCCCGCCCCCGCCGCGGGCCCCGCCCCCTGCGCGCAGTACCTGCAGCCGGCAAGAGCGGCGCGGCTACCAGGCTGAAGGCCGCCACGTGCTGCATCTGTGCCGCCACTGCGGCCACCGGGCCGAGGCCTGGGCCCTGCGCCGCCGCCAGTAGGGCCGCCTGGTGCTGCAGGATCTTTGGGAGGGAAGAAGGCCGGGTGTGGAGGGCCCAGCGGCGGGCATCTGCCCCGGCGCCCCACCCCCCGTCACCCGCTGCCCGCCCGCGCCCGCCAGGCCAGGCACTTACAGCTGTGGTGTAGGCTCCGCAGGCCCCCAGCGGCAGCGGCGCCGGCTGCAAGGCACTCAGCTGGCCCGCCATCTGCTGCATCCGCCGCAGCGCGCGCTCGCGGTCCGTGTCCGCCAGCTTGACCACGAGGCTGGACGAGGCGCCCTGGGTAAGGCAGGGGAGGCTGCAAGGACGGGTCTAGACCTCAGCCCCGGCCCTGGGCCGAGGGCCTTGCTCCTCAGGCCCTTTCCCCGGCATGTGGGGAAGAGGAGCCAGTCCCCAGACCCCTGGTCTCACCCCGGGCCCTGGCGCCCGCCCTCACCGCCATGGTCCGGCTGCCGTGCAGACTCTGGATGGCCGCCTGAGCTTCCCCTTGACTCCCGAACTTCACAAAGGCACAGCCTGGGGCAGGATAGAGGTGGCTCAGGTCACAGAGGCCAAAGGGTCATGTGGTCCGGAGTGAGGCGGGGTCATCAGGAAATCCAGGGGTCAGCTCAAGTCACCTTTACTGGTGCCATCAGGGCTCCGCAAGACGGTGCACTCCTCGATGTGGCCAAAGGGCTGGAACAGGCGTCTGACGTCCTCCTCACCCTGCTGCTTGCCCAGCATACCCACAAACAGTTTTCGGTCCTCTGGGGACAAATCCAGGAGTCACCTGGGAACCCTAAGACCTCTTGGGCTCCCCAGAGTAACAGGAGGAGCCTAGGAAGGTAGTTAACCACGGTCTGGCTCTGGGAAGAGGTGAGTGAGCAGGCCCTACTCACTTGGGGCCACAAGGTTGGGTTTCTTTGAGGGGCAGGATGACCTACAGACAGATCTGGAGGAGAGAAACTCCAGATTTACATCAGGAAAACCTGGGTCCTGGAACTCATTGTTGCTCTTGTGGGAATGATTCAGTCCATATTTTTGGTTGGATAGAGCCCTACATGCATCATTTTATATGTTTGACCTTTCTGTTCTTAGAGTCTGGGAAATGCTATTTTGGACCATTTCAGCCCTGTTAAGGGAGGGGAGTCCTCAGAGGAGTCCTTGTATTCATACTGGGTCTGGAGAAGATAAGTACACCCTCCTGATAAGCCTGATGGCAGTGGCTAGAGTCCAGGATTCTGGGTCAAAAAAAACAGCACAGAAAGCAGTTGTCTCATTGCACTGCCTCAACCCCAGACCATGAGCACTGGAATGATGAATCCCCAACTCCAGCACCCAACTCAACCTGCATGCCCCTCCCAAAGGCCTAAAGAGAACAGGAAGCTTGGGTTCCTGATCCTCCAACATTGGCATTTTGCCCACTATGCTTACTGAACTCATGACCCCTTTCCTTACCTCCCTTATTCCCTCAGTGAGCTTCCAGGGCCCTCACTGAGCCCTGCTGCCTCCTCTCTGACTTCCCCTGTTTTCCTGCCTTGATCTCTCCCCAGCTGTTCATGCTATGGGAGAACAGGTTCTGCCTATAGACCTGGATGGCCACCTGAGGATCCTTCCCTGTGTCCACCCTTCCTATGGGAATGGTAGAGATGCCCAGAGAGGGGCCGTAAGCTGGGCCCCGTGACCTTGGAGAAAGCTGGAGAGCTGGGGCTGGAAACCAGGGCTTAGCTGCACATCCAGCAAGTCGGGCCTCAGGAGCACTATCCAGGAGTGTGTGATAGAGGAGCCCAGCCCACAGGTCCTGCTGTCAAAGCCTCTCTCATCTGCACCAAGGTAAGTCTCTGATTTTGAGATGGGGCTTCATCGGCGTAATACAAGTTGGGAGAGAAAGAGTGGGTGGGAATCTGGCTTCAGACTTCACCTCTGAGATCCTGAAGCCCAAGAAAACCCATCCCAAACTCCTTCACTCTTTGACAAGCTTGGCCAGGCTGATGGGGGTCCTTGGATCCTGAGTGCAAAGGAAACAAGGCTGGTGAAGGTCATACACTGAAGCCTGGGTGACAGTGAAAAGGAAAGTGAAAAGGCCGAAATTAGCAGTGGAGGGAATCTCCAACAAGGCTATGTGTGTGTGTCCATATTTCACCTGGATGTTGTGGGGTTCAGCCTAGGCTGCCCTGGGTACCTTGGTATCTGTCGCCTGCCTGTTCATGCTGTGTCTGTATGGAGAGCAGGAGCTGTGGCTTACATGGGACAGAGTGTGTTTCAGCAGAATCCTGCCCTCTGTCCAGAGGATTACTGCCCAGAAATCCTGATGGGGAAAGGATAGATAATGTACTTGTGGCCAGAATTCCAGTAGAGGTACCAACCATCTGTGGTAAGAGTACAAAGCAGTGGGTATACTTCACTCCTGGGAGGGTTAGCCACAGAATAGTGCCCTTGGAATGGATCACTGGTTTCCTAACCTTTTAAAACAGCTGTGAAATCCATTGTTCTAACAAAAATATTAGGATGAAGCTCAAAATGTAAGAGAAAAGTAGAACTGCTTGGAAAAGGCAGAAAAGTAGGAGGAGGGCTGGAGTTCCTCTTGCTTCATCTTCCCCTGGTACTCCCTAGAGGGGGCTCCAAGGAAAGTCCTTTGTAAACCACTGACTTAAAAGATAGAAAATAGAATTCCACATGGTGCATGAAGAGGCATCTGAGATCATTCTCTTCAGGAACCTGAGAAGTCAGGAAAGGTCTTTCATGATTCTCTTGACTAATCTGATGGTGGCTTTGCCTTGACATTGGAAGACAGGCCCTATTTGGTCAGGGAATCAAACCCTCTGAGATTGTTATTGTTCTGAGCTATGAAACTAAATTATGCCCATGCGTCTACAAGAGGCCCAGGAGGGGCTGGAGAAGATCCTAGGGTCTCCAGAGTCTCAGGGCTTCATGATGCCCTAATTTATACTGCAGCTGTGACATTGGGTAGGGTCTGCAAGATGATGACAGCACCTAGGTAAGCTGTCATGCCACATGGAACAGCATCCAGGTAGCCCTAGGTAGGAAGAGAGAGGTCATGGCTGAGATGGAGCCCCCAGGACAGTAAAGAGGTTTGTGTGAACAGTGGTCCGATCCTTCATCTGCTCTTCCTCTTTCTGCTCTTTTCTGATGATGGTGGTCAGTCACAGCTCATGTCACAGACCATGAAATTCTCTGATCCTTCTGTTCCAGTGAGAGTCTCCCAAATTAAGAATTTCCATTTCCATGATAGGGCACTGACTCTATGGTTCTAGACTACTGGGCTGTACAGAATTTGAAATTGAAATGAGGTTGGGCTATGGGCTAATCTCTATGCTGCCCATTTCACAGCTGTCACCTTGAATCCTGGTGTCCTCTTTGCCACTTTACAGGGACCTTCATGGTGTTTGACAGGAGGATGGTCTGGGTCACAGTGAATATAAGCATCAGATGATCCTGAAATGGTGGGATAAGTTTCTTAAGAGACCTGGTCAAAGAGAATTACAGGCTAGACTCCTGAGAGTAGCCCGCAAATCCACACCCCTGAAGATTTTCAGGGCCGATGCATGCTCCCAGAGAGATGGAGATGATGGGATTTAGCCCAGAAAATGCAATATCCTCTAGGTCAAACTATACCAGTTTGGTAGAAAAGGATTCTGTAAGAGGTAGATTGGAAATGTCTGAATAAAATCATTCCATGAGTGGTGCGTGGGTCCCTAGAAAGAAGGAAATTCAAACTGGGAGGCTCAACTTTCCTGGAGTGGATGGAATTGGAAGATAGCATCAGTGTGGAGTTGAGACATAGTTGGAAAGACACACAGTTGAACGGTGTAACTGCATTTTCATGATGGCCACCTGTGTATACTCCTTGCTCTTCTACCAAATGCTTTTTTGAACCCAAATCAAGTTGTTTGGACCCTAGAGGTTCATCTCCATAAAGCTGTCTTGCACAGCTGATCGTACAGGGATTCTAAGGTAACAAATGATGGGGTTGGAAGCCCAGAGTCAGAGTCAGTCCACGCCATCTTCCTCAGGAAAGGTATCAAGATGCTGTTCTAGAAAGAAGGCTCTGCCCAAGTTGGCCCAAAGGAGTCCCAAGTTTCTGGCTTCTAAGCCCCCCACAACCACTCACTTCCATGTTGGTGGGATATCATGATTGTAGAAACAGTGCAGGGACAAGAAATCGCATTGGGGTACCAACCATCAGACACATCCTAAAATTACCAGTCCACCTTTCCATCCAAATACCAACCCAGGAGATCCTATTGATGGCAGCATTTGATGCTTTGACATTCTCAGTGATGACTGCAGCATAAGGATCCAAGGAAGACTAGGAAATGAGTGAAGAAAATATCCAGGGGAAACAAAGTCTCCTGATCAGATCTGATGAGTATCAAATAGGGCTTTGTGTATTTTTTTTTTTTTTTTTTTTTGCAGTACGCGGGCCTCTCACTGTTGTGGCCTTTCCCGTTGCGGAGCACAGGCTCCAGATGTGCAGGCTCAGCGGCCATGGCTCACGGGCCCAGCCGCTCTGCGACATGTGGGATCTTCCCAGACCAGGGCACGAACCCACGTCCCCTGCATCGGCAGGCGGCCTCTCAACCACTGCGCCACCAGGGAAGCCCAAGTACGGCTTTAATTCCAAAAGAAAACTATTAGAACTAAGAAACAAATTCAGCAACGTTCTCCTATTAAAAAAATCAACAGGGACTTCCCTGGTGGCGCAGTGGTTAAGAATCCACCTGCCAATGCAGGGGACATGGGTTCAAGCCCTGGCCCGGGAAGATTCCATGTGCCGCAGAGCAGCTAAGCCTGTGTGCCACAACTACTGAGCTTGCACTCTAGACCTCACGAGCCACAACTGCTGAAGCCCGTGCATGTAGAGCCCATGCTCCTTAACAAGAGAAGCCACCGCAATGAGAAGCCCGCACACCACAACAAAGAGTAGCCCCCACTCACCGCAACTAGTAAAGCCTGTGTGCAGCAACGAAGACCCAACGCAGCCAAAAATTAAAAATATAAATAAATAAAGAAATTTATTTAAAAAAAAAGAAACTGCCTGCTAATGCAGGGGACATGGGTTCGAGCCCTGGTCTGGGAAGATCCCACATGCCGTGGAGCAGCTAAGCCTGTGTGCCACAACTACTGAGCCTGCACCCTAGAGCCCAGGAGCCACAACTACTGAGCCCGCATGCCAGAACTACTGAAGCCCGCGGGCCTAGAGCCGTGCTCCGCAGCAAGAGAAGCCACCGTAATGAGAAGCCCGCATACCATAACAAAGAGTAGCCCCCCGCTCACTGCAACTAGAGAAAGCCCGCACACAGCAACAGAGACCCAACGCAGCCAAAAATAAATAAATAAATAAATTTATTTATTTTTAAAAATCAACCAAAAAATCAGTTGTGTTTCTATAGACTAGCAATGAACAATCTGAAAATGAAATTAAGAAAACTATTTCACTTAGCATCAAAAAGAATAAAATACTTAGGAATAAATTTAAACAAGGCTGCAAAAGACTTGTATCCTGAAAACTACAAAATATTGTTGAAGAAAACTGAAGAAGACACAAATAAATGGAAGACATCCTATGTTCATGAATTGAAAGACTTAATGTTGTTAGTTGTCAGTACTACCCAAAGCAATCTACAGATTTAATGCAATACCTATCAAAATTTCAGTGGCATTTTCTTGAGAAACAGAAAAATCGATCCTAAAATTCATACGGGATCTCAAGAGATCCTGAATAGCCAAATAATCTTGGGGGGAA